TAAAAATGCGATTGATTTCAGAGACTGATCAAAGTTTATTATTGATATTTAAAACTTCATCATAGGTTTACAGTGGCAAGGAAGATGAGAGCAGCTTCAGAACAGTCAGCTTGATGAAGATGAGGGTCTGGTAATAATGATGAAGATGAGGGTCAGGTCCTGGGACTGCGCTGCACCCTTTGGCGGTACTCTGGTAGGTGACGGAGGATCCACGCCGCAGGAGCTAGCATGGCCGCTGCAAACACCGACATGACGAAGAAACTTTGCTGTCAGAAAAAAAACAAGTGTCACTATTTTATGATTACTGGATGGTTATTGGCTGATATTGATCTGTTAGTGTTTAATGATAAGTTAGTGGCCTTTGACTAGTTAGTGAGTAATTCGATACAGAGACTTACCACAGCTCCAATCCTGTTTCGAGGAGGTTTACTGTAGATTGCCCTTTTCATCTCCTTCACTACATGATTTTGACGAGTCAGAGCTGAAGAATTTCCCGTCATCCTAAACGCACGGCTCACCGTCATCACGGTAACAACACCTGACCACCAAGTGGCATGTGAAGCTGTGCAATTGGTTGTTGTTCAGCTCCCGTTCAGTCACTCGACGTGCTCGGTGAAAGACGCTCATCGAGACTGAGGCTGAAATTTTCAGGAGAAAGCAGAGGAGGAAGAGGAGGAGCAGAGGGGAGGTCTGCCTGATGGAGCTGCAGATTAGATTTCCTGCGAAGAAAAAGAAGAGGAGTGATGAAGGATAAAAGGTAGATGTTTGGTTTGATGTGCAGAAACAGACCTGCAGGCTTGAACCTGCTCAGCATCAATTAAGTTTTGTCTCACTAAGAAGCTGGAGCAGCTCGATTCACTTTGTCACAATACTGTTTTTTAATCCTTTCTTTTATTGAATTTCACGTTACAGATTACTTTACCTGTTGTAGTTTGTTACTCTTTACAGTAGTCAGATTACAGACTGTATAAAACATAACAACTAGTTTGTTTTGTCTCATTAAAGCTTTCCTTCACTCCCAATACAAACAAAGAGATTTGATTTGAAATAACATCTGCAGTCCATCACTAACGTCTCTGTCAGTAATCAAACTCTGCTGCTTCTCTTTCCTACTACTTTAGAGTTACACAGTGTGTTCTGCTGCTCAGCTCGTATCAGGACACAATTTCAATTCCTTCAGGTTAAATATTCTATTTGCTCCACAGATAAACTCAGAAAACATCTGAATATTATTAATGATCATTTTACCAGAACAAGTTTACTTTCCTCCAGGTTTTCATTGATCTTTCTTTTGTAGTTTGACTGTTTTTCATTAATTTTCTTCACTTTTATTTTCTGCATCTTCAGAAACATGTTCCAGTTCACTCTCTGCATCTGCAGATGTTTTATTTGGATCTCCATAAGCTGAATCTTTTCATGTCCTCTTGTCTCTGGGTTCAGGTTACCAGCCCGGACTTTTGGAAAAGGACAGAGTTTACAGATCAGCCCAAAGCAGTGTTTATTGTGCTGTTTGTAAACTTCTGTTTATTAACATTTGGCTGACCTGCTCAAGTGGCAGAGCAGGTCAGCCACTAATCAGAAGGTCGGTGGTTCGATCCCAGGCTGCCTCCTGGCTGCATGCCAAATATCCTTGGGCAAGATACTAACCCCATGTTTGCCTACTGGTGGTGGTCAGAGGGCCCGGTGGCGCCTGTGTCCGGCAGCCTCGCCTCTGTCAGTGCGCCCCAGGGCAGCCGTGGCTACAATGTAGCTGCCATCACCAGTGTGTGAATGTGTGTGTGAATGGGTGGATGACTGAATGTAGTGTGAAGCGCTTTGGGGTCCTTAGGGACTATAAAAGCGCTATACAAATGCAGGCCATTTACCTGAAAGTTTTGGACAGCTTATTTAAAGGACTCTTTATATCCTGGTCACTAAAGCGGACACATGACAGTTTATGTGTTTAATGTCCTGAATTAAAAAAGATGGAAGTGAAAGATTTTTGTTTTTTATGAAATGCTGATCATAAATTCATGGATAAATCACATTTTTAAAGATATATTAAAGATAAAATCAGTTCTCTCAATCAGATGTTAGAAAGGTAATAATGAATTAATGGGTTACTAATTTGTTTTCTCTGGTCCCAGTCGCACCAGGAGTGACATGTTTACCTACATGCTCTCCATAATTCGCTGTCTGTCTGAGTGGTGTCCAAAAAATGATGTGGTCCTTAATTCGGAAATTTGGATAATTCAGAAACCTTCTGTGGAAACACTGGTCTTCTTGGGAGAGAAAAGACTGTGTTTCCTTCCAAAGCACCAAAATAAAAGACAATGAGAAGCTCACAAGGCCACATTGTTGCTCCTGTGGAGGAGCAGCAGTAGTAATCTTCCATTCCACCTCATTACTCTACACTCGTTGTTATCCATCAATCACCTTACTCAATTTCATTATCTAGATCATAGGTGTCAAACTCTGGCCCGCGGGCCAAATTTGGCCCGCAGCCTAATTACATTTGGCCCGCGAAGCCATACCAAATATTATATTATACAGCTAATGTATATATTGTTTAGTATTAAGCTTTGCTTGTTCCATATTCAGTTTTTCAGCAAAACGTGTTTGAGTCCATACGAAAAGATTCATTCTTATATCTGGAGGAATAAATATATTTCAATAAATATTAACGTTAGCCCGCGACTTTGTTCCAGTTTTGAATTTTGGCCCACTGTGTATACCCCTGATCTAGATACTTAAATGATTAGTCTCAAAGCTGACTTTTCTCTGAAAATGTAAAAGCCACCACTTTCATCACAGTCTGGATCTTGTTCTGACGTACAGCATAGAAACTGAACATTTATTCAAGTTCCCTGCATACCCTCGTCGATCTGCACGGCCCACGACCCCTGTACAGGAAGTCTGTCCTGCCTCTCTGATTGAAAGTCCTAACCTCCGGTCCCATGACATCTGCCCAGAGTTCAGATGGAACCAGTGTGGGTGAGCATCCTACCTCCAAATGGTCCAGCTGTTTTCTTCACTAACACTGAGACAATAAGCAGACCTGAGTAGCCTTGAAGGTCAAACCCTATCAGTCCCACCTGTTGATGGTAGATCAGTCCCTCTAGAGTCTCTGTTGTAAAATTAAGTTCAATTCGCTTCAGTTTTATTTATACAGCGCCAAATCACAACAATAGTGGCAACAATCATATGCCCTATGAGCAAAACCCTCCGGCAGAGTCAGGCTCAGGGAGGGGCGGTTGAGCTAGTTTCAGTACATGATGTGATACATCAAATATGATGCTGTATAAAGCATATGTTTGGAGTCCTGTTGGGACCCCGAAAAACAGAACCACAGGCCTACATCTACGTACAAACGCATATTAAAATATTAATTCAAAAATTAAAAAAGTGTGATCAGTCTTGACATGGTTAATGGTCAATATTCACATGAAGTTAGAGTGTTGTCATGGCAGCCGGTTACATTCAGACGTTCTCACAGATGCTGAAAGTGCTGCTGCGCCAGCATCGGTTCATCTTTGATCAGAGATGGTCAACATCACACATTTACGTGTTAATGTATGAAACTCGTTATTAAAAACTTATTCGTGCCCCATCTTTACATCACGTCGGCCACATGACAAAACTCATTTTTCACTGACATTTGTTTTCTTGCTAGCTGATCTCAGAACAATGAAAGCAGACCAGCAGCAGCGCTCTCTCATCAGTTTACCGTCAGACCAGAGGTTTGTCCAGAATGTGCATGAGCAAAACACTGAGCATACCAGGATACAGCCAATGTTAACGGAAGACAGACATGCCCTCGACAAAGAGACAAAGCTGCAAAAGTTCCTCCGGTCTCCTGATCCTGCATCATCGAGATCAAGGAAAAGTGGGTAGGAGAAGGTCTTAGGAAAAGAGAAAAGCCCTTACCTTTGTGGCATCCAGTGCCACGCTGGATGTCTGCCATGTTGAAACCAGTTGATGGACTACAAAGCACACATCTGATTTCGCTAGGTGTTCTGACCCCATTGTTTTATGGTGGTCATAGAAACAAGATCAGTCTCCTTCTTTACAAAGGTCAGATTTACTGATGTCTGCAGCAGCTGAAAGCATTTCTCCATCATCAGTTATCCCAGCAGATTTGTACTGAAGGGAAAAACTAATTCTAAAGACTGCAATACCGCAAAAGGCATTACTATTCACTGAGCCTTAATGTGGAGCTCATGCAGCAACCGTTCAACAGGAAGTAGCAGTCCAGCTGTGAGTTTAACCGGCCGTTTTTGACTACTTTTGATTTTACTTCTATATTTCAACTTTAAAAACGGTTTATCTTGCCTTGTTTGGTATCATTATTTTCAGCACAACCTCAAATATCTGAAATTGGAGTTATTTTTTCATTTTGACATACTGTATTTGCACAATTAATCTAAATTCAGACAAAAAATGTAAAATCCGAGTAGAAAAAAGTTATGTTTTGTGTAAAAACCTCAAACATGTTTAATGAATCATTTTCATAACTTGAAATGCAATTAGAAATTGTATATTTCTAAAAAAGTATGTACAAGATTTGCAAACTACAAAGTTATATGGTACTATTCACCAAAAAATGCAGCCAAGGCTTCAGGCGTGTTTTATATAACCATTTAAATCTATTTACAGAACAAGTTGATTGGTTGACATGGAAAACTTTAACAAAAATTAGGGGTGTTTTTTCTTTTTCTTTTTTCAATTGCAAACGGAGAGTGTTTGCTAGCGTTGTCCTTAGAAAACGCCGTTTCGTCCCGCTGTAAACACCGCTCTTTTGTTCAGAAAAACCATTGCGTGTATTTTTTAATCATAACTCTGGTTTTGTGGCCCATCGACACAATTTAAAAACTGGTATATAGTTTGAAGTCTGCACTTTCGACCTAAGTGGAAATGGAGACTCTGGGTCGCTGCATCTTGTTGTTGTGTTGTCTTAAATTGGTCATGTGACCAATGATGAACAACCTTTTTGGGCTAATAACCTTAGGAGAACATGTCGATAAGGTTGAATCTTTATTGAAACTGTTCTCTCTGTCATTGCTCATGAAACTGAGCAGAAGTGTTTATAATTTACACAGTTTATAAATTTATGCTTCAAACTGAAAAGACAAACACGCCAGGTTACAAATCACACATGTAGCCAGAGGGAGGTCACATGACAACATGTGAATCACATGACCGCTCGGTTTATCTTACACTTGGGTTCACGTGCATCAACTCGATGCAGGAAAAAAGGCTCCTAGCAAACACAGCCAAAGTCAGTTCAAAGTTTGTGAGAAAACAAAAGGTTAAAGGGCTGTCCAGATGTTAGGAGCAGCTGATGGAGTCCAGATGTTGCTCCTCAGCAGCCATGGCAGCAGCCTGCAGTGTCTCAGTGTCACTCTGCAAAGGATTCAGCTGCTTCCTCTCACTGTGCATGTTGTTCTCATGACGCTTCAGATCTGACGCCTGAAATGACAGAAGGACAGTGAACGCACCACAACACAAACATACCGGCACTACGGACACTGTGTAATACTACAGCATAATATTACACATACTTAGTGCAGTACTGTATATACTCTGTTATAGTACTTGTGTTGACATGCAGATGTTGATGTAATGATAAGGCTGACCAGCAGGGGGCACTGCATTTAAGAAAGCTGATGAATGGCAACAGTGGGGCACCTAAAAGAAGACTGGTCTGTGGTGTTGCATAATAATGTTTGGCGAGGAAGCTCACAATGCAAAAGAGGATGCTGTGTTATTTTTAACTAGGAAGACCACACAGTACTGTGTATATACTGATTGCAGTACTGTATATATGGTATAATATGTACTAGAGATGGACCGATCTGATATTACGTATCGGTATCGGTCCAATACTGACGTGAATTACTGGATCGGATATCGGAGAGAAATAAAAAATGTAATCCGATCCATTAAATATCAAAAAAGCACCTCACAAAACTTGCGACACGGCGTAACTCGGCTCATAACGTCGCAGCAGTGTGGTCACCTGATAGAGCGGCTGTGTGTATTTGTAGCCTCGCTACCAAACCAGCATTTCATCTCCGAGGAAGTGATCCCAGAGAGAAGTAAAACAAGTGTGTAAGTTCATCTCTGAGTGTTTGTAAAGCATTCCAGCGTTACGCTTAACAACCGATATATGTTTTAGAGCCCTATTAGTTTGGTTGCTTACTCTTTAAAATACCAGAATAGGAGGATGGAGCAGGTTTAAGTTTATTAGATTGATCAGTGTTGCTGAACTATGAAATATTTTGGGTGCAGTGTATTTTTTACATACAGGTATAACAGAATAGCTTTAGTGTTGTTGTTTATTTAAACTTGAGTATGAACTTATACAAAAAGCAGCAAGATATTAAAAAAAGAGTTTTATTGATTAAAAAACACTATATTGGATTCATATCGGTATCGGCCGATATCCAAATTTATGATATCGTGTCGGACATTAAAAGTGGTATCGTGCCATCTCTAGTCTATATACTGTGTGTAGTACTGTCTATATATACCATATGTAGTACTCAGTACACTGAGTGCAGTACCTTGGCGAAGGCCTTGGTGCAGGACGGACAGACGAACGGTTTCTCTCCTCTGTGTCTCCTCTCGTGATCCTTCAGGTGAGACTTGTGTTTAAAAGCCTGCAGGCACACAGGTGAGAGCCAGACTGGTTACAATGGTGACAGGAAAGATGGGCGCACAGGTGAGAGGACAGGTGAGTTCACCTTTTCGCACATCTGGCAGGCGAAGGGCCGCTCGTTGCTGTGAACTCGTTCGTGTTTCTTCAGGTCCGGAGCGCGAATGAACGATTTCCCACACACGTCACACCTGTAGGGTTTGAAACCTGCATGGATCTTCAGGTGTTCTGAACAGACAGGTGAGGGTTAGGGTGACCTCAGGGAGCATAGAAGTAAGAAGCAAGTAAACGTACGTGGGTGTGGTTACCTTTCAGGTGAGCGTGGGTAGTGAAAGCTTTGGTGCAAATGTCACAGGCGAACGGACGCTCGGCCGAGTGAAGCTTCTCGTGCTTCCTGAGCAGAGACAGACAGATGTGTCCTTCGCCTGTGGCTTCAAGATCCATTTTCATCATTGAGGTGTGTACTTACCTGAGTCTGCTCTCATCCAAGAAAGTCTTCCCACACACCTGGCAGGCGAGCTGCTCGCGGTGTCCGTACAGCAGGTATTCGAACTTCATGTCGGCAGTCGCCGTTGACCAGCCTGGCGGCTGCTCGTCCTTCACTTCCCCTATGCTGTCCGCGAAGGTCAGCGTCTGTGTGGCGTGATGCTCCGCTCCAAGCTCTTTAGGCTCCGCCTCCATCTCCGTCACCACATCCTGGTTGTAGCAGGTTACCTGGATGGACGATGTGTCAGTGACAGTCGTCGTGGATACAGGAATACTCAGGTGTAAGTATGCGTACCTTGTGCACATCCTCATTGGTCAGTTCCTTTAGGATCGCCTCTTGCACATGCAGCGCTGTACTGGGAGACTTCTCCAGCTCCGGATTGGCCGAGGGCTCCACAAGGTCATCTGTGGCGGACGTGTCATCGTCAAGCACCTACACACAACAGTAATCAGATTACAAAGTACAGGCTCTGACAGTTAACTGGTAAACAATGGGTTAATCCGTACCTCCGAGTCGGCGGCCAGCTGAGCCTCAGGCGGCAGCGCCATCTTTACGATGTCATAGGGAAACTTCTCCTTGTCCTCCGACGACACATCTCGCTTCTGAGGACACACCCACCAACACCTGTTACCTGTGTGTGTCACCAGCTTGTGTGTTACATGCATTTTATGCTACCTGCATGTGCATTACCTGTGTACACGCTTCACTTGTATGTGGATTACCTGTCTGTGTGTCGCCCGTGTGTGTTACCTGAGAGCAGAGTTTGTCAAGGAAGCGGATGCCGAGGATCTGGCCTGATGACATCATCAGGTTGACGTCCTTCTTCTTCACAGAGATCTTTGCCGTGTACATGTAGTTCAGGACTTCCTCAAAGATGTCAGAGCGGATGAAGTCAATCTCAATCACTGATGAGTTGTCCACCTGAGAAGACACACACGTACAGGTGAGACATCTCACCAGAACACACTCGGGAACCCCTGGAGGCCATGAAGTGAACTGCAGTCACCATACATATACACATACATGTATGATGTATGTGTATACAGGGAGTGCAGAATTATTAGGCAAGTTGTATTTTTGAGCAATAATTGTATTATTGAACAACAACCATGTTCTCAATGAACCCAAAAAACTCATTAATATCAAAGCTGAATGTTTTTGGAAGTAGTTTTTAGTTTGTTTTTAGTTTTAGCTATTTTAGGGGGATATCTGTGTGTGCAGGTGACTATTACTGTGCATAATTATAAGGCAACTTAACAAAAAACAAATATATACCCATTTCAATTATTTATTTTTACCAGTGACACCAATATAACATCTCCACATTCACAAATATACATTTCTGACATTCAAAACAAAACAAAAACAAATCAGAATCAGAATACTTTATTGATCCCTGGGGGAAATTATTTTTTGTTACAGTGCTCCATTTTAAACCAACATTAAGACAAGACAGACAATACGCTAACTAAGAATAGTACAATATATACATATATATACATACATACATACATAAGTCACTTATAAATAAATATTTGGAAAAGAAACATGTGTAGTTGTAGCAGCAAACAGTGTGTTAAGTGGATGCGTTGTACAGGGAGATGGCCACAGGCAGGAATGATTTCCTGTGTCGTTCAGTGGTGCTTTTCGGTAATCTCAGTCTCTCACTGAACGAGCTCCTGTGACTGACCAACATGTCATGGAGTGGGTGGGAGGTGTTATCCAACATTGTCTTTATCTTGGACAGCATCCGCCTCTCCGACACCACCTTGAGGGAGTCCAGCTCCATCCCCACAACATTGCTGGCCTTACGGATTAGTTTATTAAGTCTGTTGGCATCAGCGACCAATATAGCCACCTTTCTTTGCAAGGACACTCAAAAGCCTGCCATCCATGGATTCTGTCAGTGTTTTGATCTGTTCACCATCAACATTGCGTGCAGCAGCAACCACAGCCTCCCAGACACTGTTCAGAGAGGTGTACTGTTTTCCCTCCTTGTAAATCTCACATTTGATGATGGACCACAGGTTCTCAATGGGGTTCAGATCAGGTGAACAAGGAGGCCATGTCATTAGTTTTTCTTCTTTTATACCCTTTCTTGCCAGCCACGCTGTGGAGTACTTGGACGCGTGTGATGGAGCATTGTCCTGCATGAAAATCATGTTTTTCTTGAAGGATGCAGACTTCTTCCTGTACCACTGCTTGAAGAAGGTGTCTTCCAGAAACTGGCAGTAGGACTGGGAGTTGAGCTTGACTCCATCCTCAACCCGAAAAGGACCCACAAGCTCATCTTTGATGATACCAGCCCAAACCAGTACTCCACCTCCACCTTGCTGGCGTCTGAGTCGGACTGGAGCTCTCTGCCCTTTACCAATCCAGCCACGGGCCCATCAAGACTCACTCTCATTTCATCAGTCCATAAAACCTTAGAAAAACCAGTCTTGAGATATTTCTTGGCCCAGTCTTGACGTTTCAGCTTGTGTGTCTTGTTCAGTGGTGGTCGTCTTTCAGCCTTTCTTACCTTGGCCATGTCTCTGAGTATTGCACACCTTGTGCTCTTGGGCACTCCAGTGATGTTGCAGCTCTGAAATATGGCCAAACTGGTGGCAAGTGGCATCTTGGCAGCTGCACGCTTGACTTTTCTCAGTTCATGGGCAGTTATTTTGCGCCTTGGTTTTTCCACACGCTTCTTGCGACCCTGTTGACTGTTTTGAATGAAACGCTTGATTGTTCGATGATCACGCTTCAGAAGCTTTGCAATTTTGAGACTGCTGCATCCCTCTGCAAGATATCTCACTATTTTTGACTTTTCTGAGCCTGTCAAGTCCTTCTTTTGACCCATTTTGCCAAAGGAAAGGACGTTGCCTAATAATTATGCACACCTGATATAAGGTGTTGATGTCATTAGACCACACCCCTTCTCACTACAGAGATGCACATCACCTAATATGCTTAATTGGTAGTAGGCTTTCGAGCCTATACAGCTTGGAGTAAGACAACATGCATGAAGAGGATGATGTGGACAAAATACTCATTTGCCTAATAATTCTGCACTCCCTGTATGTGGGGGCGATCGTGGCTCAAGAGTTGGGAGTTCGCCTTGTAATCGGAAGGTTGCCGGTTCGAGCCCCGGCTTGGACAGTCTCGGTCGTTGTGTCCTTGGGCAAGACACTTCACCTGTTGCCTACTCGTGGTCAGAGGTGGCGCCAGTGTCCGGCAGCCTCGCCTCTGTCAGTGCGCCCCAGGGTGGCTGTGGCTACAATGTAGCTGCCATCACCAGTGTGTGAATGTGTGTGTGAATGGGTGGATGACTGGATATGTAAAGCGCTTTGGGGTCCTTAGGGACTAGTAAAGCGCTATATAAATACAGGCCATTTACCATATATATACACATATCATATATAGGAGGAGATATATATATATCTTTAAGAAGGGAGACCGGAGGGTGTGTTCCAACTACAGGGGATCACACTCCTCAGCCTCCCTGGGAAAGTCTATGCCAGGGTGCTGGAAAGGAGAGTTCGTCCGCTAGTCGAACCACGGATACAGGAGGAACAATGCAGTTTTCGTCCTGGTCGCGGAACACTGGACCAGCTCTTTATCCGCTCGAGGATACTTGAGGGTGCATGGGAGTTTGCCCAACCAGTCTACATGTGTTTTGTGGACTTGGAGAAGGCATTCGACCGTGTCCCTCGGGGTGTCCTGAGGGAGGTGTTGCGGGAGTATGGGGTGTCTGGCCCATTGCTACGGGCCATTCGATCCCTATACAACCGTTGCAAGAGCTTGGTTCACATTGCCGGCAATAAGTCGGACTCGTTCCCGGTGGGTGATGGGCTCTGCCAGGGCTGCCCTTTGTCTCCGGTTCTGTTCATAATTTTTATGGACAGGATTTCTAGGCGCAGCCAAGTGGCGGAGGGCTTTCGCTTTGGTGGCCTCAGAATCTCATCTCTGATTTTTGCGGATGATGTGGTTCTGTTGGCTTCATCGGGTGAGGGCCTCCAGCTCGCACTGGAACGGTTCGCAGCCGAGTGTGAAGCAGCGGGAATGAGGATCAGCACCTCCAAATCTGAGGCCATGGTTCCCAGCCGGACAAGGGTGGAGTGCCCACTCCGGGTCGGGGATGAGTTCCATGCCCCAAGTGGAGGAGTTCAAGTATCTCGGGGTCTTGTTCGCGAGTGATGGGAGAAGGGAGCCGGAGATCGACAGACGGATTGGGGCTGCAGTAATGCAGACGCTGCACCGGTCCGTCGTGGTGAAGAGGGAGCTGAGTGTAAAAGCGAAGCTCTCAAAGGCGCTATTTAAATAAAATGTATTATTATTATTATTATTAATTTACCGGTCGATCTACGTCCCTACCCTCACCTATGGCAATGAGCTGTGGGTAGTTACCGAAAGAACGAGATCGCGGATACAAGCGGCAGAAATGAGCTTCCTCCGAAGGGTGGCTGGCCTCTCCCTTAGAGATAGGGTGAGAAGTTCGGCCATCCGGGAGGGGCTCAGAGTAGAGCAGCTGCTGCTCCACATCGAAAGGAGCCAGCTGAGGTGGTTCGGGCATCTGACAAGGATGCCCCCTGGGCACCTCCTGGGTGAGGTGTTCCAGGCATGTCCCACCGGGAGGAGGCCCCGGGGCAGACCCAGGACACGCTGGAGAGATTATATCTCTCGGCTGGCCTGGGAACGCCTTGGTATTCCCCCGGATAAGCTGGAGGAGGTGGCTGGGGAGAGGGAGGTCTGGGCCTCTTTGCTTAGGCTGCTGCCCCCGCGACCCGGCCTCAGATAAAGCGGATGAAGATGGATGGATGGATGGATATATATATATATACTGTGTTACTGTGTGTTTGTGTGTGCGTAACCATTATACCCTGAACTGGGACACAGCACACAGCTGTTAAGCTGTGAAGAGGACTCTCCATTTACATGAACAAACTGGAGTCTATTAGATAGATATGATACAAACCACTGCAGCACAGTACCTGTAATACCTACAGCATGTTCTAATCGCTCTAATAGGATATTATGGTCGACAGTATCGAACGCTGCACTAAGGTCTAGCAGGACAAGCACAGAGATGAGTCCACTGTCAGAGGCCATAAGAAGATCATTTGTAACCTTCACTAAAGCTGTTTCTGTGCTGTGATGAGCTCTGAAACCTGACTGAAACTCTTCAAATAAGCCTCTGCAGATGATCTGTTAGCTGTTTGACAACTACTCTTTCAAGGATGTTTGATATGAAAGGAAGGTTGGAGATTGGCCTATAATTAGCTAAGACTGCTGGGTCTAGAGATGCTTTTTGAGTAAAGGTTTAACTACAGCCAGCTTGAAGGCCTGTGGTACATAGCCGATCATTAGAGATAGGTTGATCATATTTAAGATCGAAGCATTAATTAATGGCAGGACTTCTTTGAGCAGTTTTGTAGGAATGGGGTCTAAAAGACACGTTGATGGTTTGGAGGAAGTAATTATTGAAGTTAACTCAGAAAGATCAACTGGAGAAAAAGAGTCTAACTTAACATCAATACTAAGCATTAGTACTAAGAGCAGCTGTAGATAATATTACATCTGTGGGATGATTATTGGTCTTTTTTTCTCTAATGTATAAATTTTATTTGTGAAGAAGTTCATGAAGTCATTACTAGTTAACGTTAAAGGGATGGTTGGCTCAACAGAGCTCTGACTGTTTGTCAGCCTGGCTACAGTGCTGAAGAGAAACCTGGGGTTGTTCTTATTTTCTTCAATCAGTGACGAATAGTAAGATGTTCTGGCTTCGCGGAGGGCTTTCTTATAAAGCAGCAAACTATTTCTCCAGGCTAAATGATGATCCTCTAAAATGAAATGATGAAATTAAATGTGTTGTAGATTTAAATGTTAATAAGATGTTGCTGGCGGGGACCTTGGTGTCACCTTGCACAGTCGGTCTTCACCAGGTAAACTGTATTTGTTGTATTATTGTACTCTTTACCTTACTATCTAAATTGCCTGAGGCAACTGTTGTTGGCACTATACTAATAAAACTGAAAAAATCTGCACAATACTTTGTGTTCGAAGTACTCATTAAGTACACAGATGTATTTTTGAGGTACCTCGTGTTTTTTGAAGAGCTTTTTAAAGTAGTTGGAGCAGGCGGCGAGGACGCAGCGGTGAGCACGGAACTTGACGTCTTCGACGACCACGGCAATGTCGCAGTGCTCGCCCTCCAGCCGCTGCTCGTTCAGCAGCTTCAAGAAGATGCTCTTATGTTCGTCGTCCACGTACTTCACCATTTCCGCCATCTGAGAACAGGTACAGATCACGTGATCAGGTTCAAAGCACCCTGGTCTGGGGGTAATGATACTTACAGCTAGTATTATCCCCCAGGACTGAAACCACCTGACCAATCAAAATGTGTGACATCATCAACACCCGTTTTTACATTACAATCATGTGAGGTTCTCCTCGTGTCTCTGATCTATACCTTCCCCATCCTAAGGCCTCAGGCATGAATGATCAGCGTTCTATGTCAGAGGTCCAGGACACCATTTCTCCCTTCAGCTATGACCGAGGCGATGCCCCGGCTCCAGCAACAACCAGGTGTTGATGGTTAGCTAACGACACTAGCCAGGAAGAACATCTGTAGCTGTTTGCATGAGGTCACAGCTGATCACGTGATACGTCACATGATACTGAACACAGATGACATCAGCTCTGACATTACAACAGCGTAAATGGAGTTGCAGTACACAGCTGGATGGTGTCTGTTACCATAGCAACCTGGTCACCTGTTACTGCATCATGCTGTTTGTGGTAAATGGACTGGTTCTTATGTAGCACTTCTCTTTGAGCGCTATATACAACGCGCCTCTGTCTCCCAATCACACTCATTCACACTCTAATGGAGAAACAAGGGTACACAGACTGCAGCGGCCAGAGATCGGACCGCCGACCTTCCAATCAGCAGACCTGACCTGCTCCAACCCTTATACATAAACTTCCTGTATTATTTCAAATTAAAAGCCTTTCACTGCAAACGTGTGAGCAGGCTTTTATTGTCAGGTCATGTGATCCATGTGTCACATGTTCACAGGCCTCCTCCGACTCACGGTGCGGTTTTAAAGATTTCCCTTCAGAGTGTTTGGATTCTTAAAAACAGTCGATGTTTGAGATCGCACCATCAGCGTAATGATGATTCATCTTTGAACTTTCTGTCACATCAACCACCACTAACTGTTAATGATGTCACTTCCTGTCAGCTCACTGAACCCACTGAGTCCATTTTGCTAGTGAAAGTTCTTCACTGAGAGACGTGACCCGAAAGTATCTGTGTGGCGGCCATAATCAGAGCTGTCCCACATACTAAGGAAAGGAGCTTCAGTGCGTCCTTAAGCAGAGGAGACGCCGGAGCATCCTTTAGATAGCTGTCCACAGTCCTAATCTTTCATGAAAACATCGACGTAATATCATGTGTTCGTCATAACTGCATTTTCTATTTCATCGGTAACCTGCTGACATATTTACAGTTTTTATCAGCAGCTGTTAAACTCACAACTGAACATCACACAGCTAGAATAAAACTACTTCCCGTTGAGTCGTCGCTATGTGAAGAACGCTGTATGAGCACAACACTAGGGCAGGGCGATATGGCCAAAAATATATATCACGATATATATTTGAAAATTTGCGATAACGATATAACTGACGATAACCATGTATAATATCCACTGAAGTTAAAAAGAGGTGCTTTGCAACATTAAACTGCAGTGTGCCAAATAAAAAAGTCAAATATGTATTTTTCGGACCATAAGGTGCACAGGATTATAAGGCACATCAAGCGAAACAAAGCAGTCAGATAAATCAAACTTTATTGAACTCATTCTTCTTGCTTCCTCCACTTCTGTACCATTGATTCATTAATGTTGTATTCTCTGGCAGCAGCTCTATTCCCATGTTGTTGCAGTATATTAATGACTAACCTCGTATTGTGGATGGATTATCTCAGTTGTTCTCCTGACTGAAGTTTGGTCCGTTTACAGCATCCTGCCATGCGATTGCATTTGTCTCTAACTATCAGGAACCTTAACGTTAACTTTTATAAGTGGAAAAGTGTTAGTGTTCGTCCTCCAGCTTCACTGTTTATGTTATGCTAACATAGCTGTGTCGCTAGCGATCACGTAGCACAGCATTAAACACCAGCTAGCCCAACTTCAGTAACGCTACAAACGTCATTGTCTTCATTTATATTGGAAGTGATAGCAGAGCTGTACGTTTGATTTTTTTTTTCAGAAATCTCTCAGTCAGAACATGCTATATCATGCTTAGGTAACTAGCGAAACTAGCGAGCTAACTTCCGCTAACTTCTAACTCCGTTAAATGTAATGAATTCTGTTTTCATGGATGCCTGGATGTTAAACATCATAGTTATACCTGGTAAAGCAGCAACACTGGTCATTTTATTAAAGATGGAAGAATTTAGACAGTTTTTAACTCTCAGTGATGTTCGTTTGACTTCGGGACCTTAAAGGACGGCGTTTAGGACCCAGATTACTCCCAGATTAACGAGCACCTTAGGCCAACAAATACGGCAATAACGATGGCCACTTGCATGTTCTACAAAAAAAAAGTGCTTTGTTGTGTATCTGATGGACAAACACCAAACCAGTTAAGTTGCACCATTTTTACAAACTAATTCTGGTTCATCCGTTTCACTCAATCTGCTTTCCCCATTCTCATTCTCCGTTACCGCCGCGCTTTTTCGGCACTGCGCTTGCGCGTTTTACCCATATTCTATCGCAGTATTTCATTTTCTTATCGTTGCCTAGCATTGTACCAGTATTACCGTGAACGGTATAATATGCCCCAGCCCTACTCAACACTGTGATCTACATGAACTGACCAGCGTGTGCTTAGAGGACTTAACAGTCTTCAGGACTCATGCTTCATGTCAGCTGGGATCAGTGATGATGGAGGACTGTTACTGCAAATCCCAAACAGGGTGGAGGAAAGGAGTTCCACAGCAGGAAAATATAAAAATGTGAGATTTCATCTTGTGCTATGTAAGGTAACTTATTCTAATCTCCTAACAGTCACTTCCTTACAAAGAAAAAGCAGCCAGCTATGTTTTTAGCAGAGCAAATTAGTGGCTCAATATTTCCGGCAGTTCAGACACATGAGCTGAGGCTCAGTGTGCTTTGGATATATGAGAGAGCTCTGAGGGTCAGGACGCAGTCGTTCCACCTGTGTGAACAGCTGATGTACACCATCCCTGTACAATGCTGGGTTTACACTGTGCGATTTTTGGCCCATTTTGAGCCGATTTTTGAGTCGTGCGAACGTTTTGTTGATCGGCCCGATTTTGGCCTTCATCGTGTGTCGTGTAAATGGTAAATGGCCTGTATTTATATAGCGCTTTACTAGTCCCTAAGGACCCCAAAGCGCTTTACATATCCAGTCATCCACCCATTCACACACTGGTGATGGCAAGCGATTAACACCTCACGACCAGCTCCCGGTTTGAAATCCACATGACCGTCGTGAGTGTCACCGCAGCTGCTCACACTGCGCACACGCAAACACATAAACGTTGGTGAAAAAGACGGAGCAGCAGTGCAGTGTGTGATCTGGAAACAAGCGATGGAGGCACTTGTAGAACTTTGGAAAGCTCATCCGAGCCTTTTCGATGTGGCCTCACAAAATTATCACGACCACAACAACCATGAAAATAGTTGGATTTACATTGCTGCTCAATAACAGCTGCCTGATTTTTCATTAGCAATTTAGCAAAGTTGATGGTGGTGTGTGTCTGTGTGAGTGAAAGACAGAGGGAGCGAGCGACAGAATTTCTGTTATAACCTTCATGCTATGGACGCACAGTGTGAGCACTCGGGGCGCATCAGAGCATCGGGCCGTATAGTGTGAGACCCTGCATTGTGACCTACGACCTTCTAACCCCTGCGAGTCAATCGTACAGTTTGAGCAGAAGCTGAATAACGCGACTGAAAAAAAAATCGCAGTGTCTGCCCAGCTTTAGTCATCCTCTTAACACACTGTATACTGCAACAGCTACACCCTTTTTGCACATGCTCTTCTTTCTTATTCAGACATTTATCAATAAGTGACTTCTACACACACACACACACACGTATATATATATATATATAGTGTAGTATATAGTAGGGCTGGGCCATATTGTACCGTTCATATATTGTACCGGTATAATGTTAGGCAAAGATAGGAAAATGAAATATCGCGATAGAATATGAGTAAAACGCGCATGCAGTGCCTTTGTTTTCATACGCACATGGCCGATTGCTGAGTGAAATAGATGAACCAGAATTGGTTTGTAAAAATGGTGCAACTTCAGTGATGTGGAACTGGTTTGGTGTTTGTCCGTCAGATACACGACAAAGCACAATTTTTTGCAGAACATGCAAGCGGCCGTCGTTATTGTCGTATTTGTCAGACTAAGATGCTCTTAAATCTGGGAGTAATCTGTGTCCTAAACTCTGTATGCTTCAGTTCAAACGAACACTGCAGCATCACTGATAGTTAAAAACTGTCTCAATTCTTTCATCTTTAATAAAATGACCAGTGTTGCTGCTTTACCAGGTGTAACTATGAAGTTTAACTTCCAGGCATCCATGAAAACAAAATTTATTACATTTAACGGAGTTAGAAGTTAGCAGGAAGCTAGCGGAAGTTTGCTCGCTAGTTTCGCTAGTTACCTAAGCATGATATAGCATGTTCTGACTGAGAGATTTCTGAAAAAATTCAAACGTACAGCTCTGCTATCACGTCCAACATAAATGAAGACAGGAAACTAAACAGCAGTGACGTTTGTAGAGTTACTGAAGTTGGGCTAGCTGGTATATAATGATGTGCTACGTGATCGCTAGCGACACAGCTATGTTAGCATAACATAAACAGTGAAGCTGGAGGACGAATACTAACACTTTTCCACTTATAAAAGTTAACGTTAAGGTTCCTGATAGTTAGAGACAAATGCAATCGCATGGCAGGATGCTGTAAACGGACCAAACTTCAGTCAGGAGAACAACTGAGATGATCCATCCATCCGAGGTTAGTCATTAATATACTGCAACAACATGGGTATAGAGCAGCTGCCAGAGAATTCAACATTAATGAATCAATGGTACAGAAGTGGAGGAAGCAAGAAGAATGAGTTTAATAAAGTTTGATTTATCTGACTGCTTTGTTTCGCTTAATGTGCCTTATAATCCCGTGCACCTTATGGTCCAAAAAATACGTACTGCACACTGCAGTTTAATGTTGCAAAGCACCTCTTTTTAACTTCAGTGGATATTATACATGGTTATGCTCAGGATATGTCAGCCCATTTCTACTGGAAATGCCTTTTGGTTATACTTTAAGCAAGGAATTTACATTTGCACTGTTACATTTTTATAAAGCTTTAATTTACATAAAAACCAGCTTCTTGTTTAAGTGAAAATAAATGGGAGGTTGTCTTTTTGCGCTAGTAATGTTGTGGAGTTGTATTTTGTCTCGCATCAATTATATCGTCAGTTATATCGTTATCGCAAATTTTCAAATATATATCGTGATAAATATTTTTGGCCATATCGCCCTGCTCTAGTATATAGTATATAGTGTCTATTAGTTACTTCTTGTAATGTCTGTCTTTGTTACTGTTTGTACTGGAGCACTGTAATCAAAATAATTTCTCCAGGGATTAATAAAGTATTCTGATATCTGATTCTGACCTACTGACGAACAGTCTGAGGACGGAGGTTTTTCTTGGGACGATTCCACACTTGCTCTAAGGAAAGGAAACAAGGCTAGGACATAGGAAGTGGTAAGGCTGAGGTCAAAGGTGAAACACTTTTCAACAGCTTTATTTCCAACTGCTGTAATCCAGGAACTCTGAGCAGAACTGCAGCCAATTGGCTTAACAAACAACACGTGATCAATGTTCAATCAGCAGATCAATTCGCTGATAATCATCAATGCTGTCGTTGATCCAGCTGTCACGTGCTGCTGTAATACCAGACTCGGGTACACGCGCGCGCAGTACATGCAGCTTCTATACAGCGGACACGCGCATGGAACGCGTGCACGCTGCGAGTAGAGCTGAGGAGACGAGAGCAGGCTAGCTGTTAGCATGTAGCCGTTAATATCGATCGTTGATCGGAGCGTTCCGGTACAGCCCGGCCCGGGATAGCCTGTCCCGGTACCGGTCCAACCCGGGATAAAGCCAGCCAATTCCGGTCTGAACGGCGCTTGGTGAGGATCGGGGAAAGTCGCGTTGCCGTTAGTCGGATCACCGGTACTTCCGCCATCTGTACTTGGTACCGGTGCGTGAGCGGGCCCCGGTCAGTGCGCGTGAAATGGCGGGCAGGACGGAGAGAAGATGGAGTTTCTCGCTAACCCGCGCGCTCACCGGCTCGTGGGCCACCGCTCCGCCGTCCCGGGACGGACACGCAGGCACGCGAGCAGCCACGGCGCCGCGGCCTCGGCCACACGGAGCTCGAGCGGCCATGAACGGCTCGAGAGCGCGCAGCATCCCCGCGGAAACGGCGACCGCGGCGGGACCAGGGGCGCGCGGGTCCGCGAGCGAGTCTTACCGTGACACGAGACCGGGGGCGTCCGTCGGGGGAGGGGGTCGGTTCCGGCGGGGAGGGGGGGGAGGTCGCGACACTTTATCCTCCTGTTGTTGTTGTTGTGACGGTGACGAGCTTTGCGCCAGCACGCTCACTCTGCGGAGGCACGCAGGCAGCGCGCCAAACCCCTGTGGGAGACGCGCATGCGCAGTGCAGTTGTTGTGGACAGGGCTCCGAACGCGCCCGTTTGGTCCCCCCGAATGTGTTTGCGCGCGTTGGAAGCAGTGCAGTCACGTGACCACAGCAGAGCCTCTGAACGGAGCAGAGTGAAGCTGACCCCCCCACCCACTTGAAACGTAAAGGCAAATAGGCGGAGCGGTTAGTGCTACGTTTGTGCAGATTTGTGCAGGTAAAATTAGCGTTTGTGCTGCTACGGTTTCCGAGATATTAAACTTTATTTTATAGGTCATTCAAAGGTCACCATCCCCCAGACTGCTCCAAAACGGGCCAAAATGGTCTACTTTTTTAGTGCTACGTTTGTGCTGATTTGTGCAGGTAAAATTAGCGTTTGTGCTGCTACAGTATCTGAGATATTAAAAGTTATATTTTTTGCTGATGACATCACCATCCCCCCAGACTGCTCCAAAACAAACCAAAATGGTCTACTTTTTTAGTGCTACGTTTGTGCAGATTTGTGCAGGTAAAATTAGCGTTTGTGCTGCTACGGTTTCCGAGATATTAAACTTTATTTTATATGTCATTCAAAGGTCACCATCCCCCCAGACTGCTCCAAAACAAACCAAAATGGTCTACTTTTTTAGTGCTACGTTTGTGCAGATTTGTGCAAGTAAAATTAGCGTTTGTGCTGCTACGGTTTCCGAGATATTAAACTTTATTTTATAGGTCATTCAAAGGTCACCATCCCCCCAGACTGCTCCAAAACGGGCCAAAATGGTCTACTTTTTTAGTGCTACGTTTGTGCTGATTTGTGCAGGTAAAATTAGCGTTTGTGCTGCTTCTGTTTTAAAGATATTAATGAAAATGTAAAGGTCAACCAGCCCCCCCACATTACCCAAATCCAACAAAAGTGGTATCAAACGTTTGTGCTACGTTTGTGCTGGTTTGTGCTGGTTTGTGCTGCAAAGATTTTCGTTTGTGCTGCTATCATTTTAAAGATATTAATAACAATTTCTAGAGGTCATCAGAGGTCAACCAGCCCCCCCACATTAATTAAATCAAACAAAATGGGTGTCAATCAACTGTGCTACGTTTGTGCTGGTTTGTGCTGCTAAAATTTTCGTTTGTGCTGCTTCTGTTTTAAAGATATTAATGAAAATGTAAAGGTCAAAAGGTCAACCAGCCCCCCCACATTACCCAAATCCAACAAAAGTGGTATCAAACGTTTGTGCCACGTTTGTGCTGGTTTGTGCTGCAGAAATTTTTGTTTGTGCCGTTATTATTTTAAAGATATTAACAAAAATTTCTAGAGGTCAACCAGCCCCCCCATATTAATGGAATCAAACAAAATGGATGTCAAACGTTTGTGCTGGTTTGTGCTGCAAAAATGTTTGTTTGTGCTGCTAGCATTTTAAAATGTTTAATAAAATAACGTCTTGATGCGTGCTTAATCATCCAGGTAAGTAAATCCCAAAAGGTTGATTCTGTTCATCTGGACATTTTCAGTTGGAGAAACGTTTCGTCACTCATCCAAGTGACTTCTTCAGTCTCAGCTGACTGCAGGTTTCCCCAACCATATAAACACCCGTGAGTGAAGTTGCCCCCCCTACCTTCTTCAAATCGAACAAAATTGATGTCAAACATTTGTCCTGCAAATTATTTTGTTTGTGCAGGTTATGTTTCCCTAATTTTATAAACAGTACATGTACAGTGAGAGAGAGATGTTACATCTGTCTTCACTTGCATCCCAGTCATAGAAGCGTTGGAGGTCGTTCATAAGAGATTACAGGATCATCCCAACCTCAGCAACAGGACCACTCTCAGCACTGATCAGTTGTGTTTGCTTTTGGAACTGTCTTAATTCCACCTATTTTGCATAAGGGTCAGTACAGGCAGAAATCTAGGTGTGCCATGGGTTCCCACAGGCCCTGGTCAAAGTCACCAAACCAGTTCGTAAGCAGGTACAGGTGTGGCCAGAAGGGTCCTCAGAGGCACTGCTTTTCCACCACAGGCCGCCACACACGACAACACCACAGACTTTCAGGAATATACAGAAACTGTCACTGCCTACATCCCAAAATGCATCGATGATGACATTCAGGGACAGGTTGTTGTTGCTGTACCACTCTGGCAGATGGTTAACTTCACCCCTGTAGTAGATCTCGTCGTGGGTCAGCAGAGTGAAGAGAAGGGAGCTCAACACACATCCTTGGGTAGCCCCCGTATATCGTGTTCTTGGGCTGGAGGTGTTGCTGTTGACCCGTACTGTCTGCTGTCTTCCTGTCAAGAAATCTAGCAGCCCGTTATACAGCAAGGTGCTGATCCCCAGCAGATCCAGTTTGTGAATGAGTTGCTGGGGAATGATGGTGTTGAATGCTGAACTGAAGTCTATGAACAGCACTCTGACATATGAGTCTCTAGTGTTCAGATGTGTGAGGGCTGGATACTGAAGAGCCACCGGGGCAGAACCAGCAGACTGAGAGACAGCTTCGTCCATCGGGCTGTCAGGATGCTGACCATCTCTGGATCGAGAAGGGGGGCCCAAGGGTACATCTTTCGCCATCCTACAATGCTGTGATTGTAGCCATTCCCCACTTTCTGTGAATGGTACTCATGGCCATTGATCAATAGGCTTTGATTAGTTGTCATTGATCAATGGTCATAAGAATTTGCATACTAACAATCATGGAATTAACCCCCCGGCACATTGTTCATTCAGTGGCGCTAGTTTCCTTCACTATGCAAATGTACTGTTTATATGGTTGGGGAAACCTACAGTCAGCTGAGACTGAAGAAGTCACTTGGATGAGTGACGAAACGTTTCTCCAACTGAAAATGTCCAGATGAACAGAATCAACCTTTTGGGATTTACTTACCTGGATGATTAAGCACGCATCAAGACGTTATTTTATTAAACATTTTAAAATGTTAGCAGCACAAACAAACATTTTTGCAGCACAAACCAGCACAAACGTTTGACATCCATTTTGTTTGATTCCATTAATATGGGGAGGCTGGTTGACCTCTAGAAATTTTTGTTAATATCTTTAAAATAATAACGGCACAAACAAAAATTTCTGCAGCACAAACGTAGCACAAACGTTTGATACCACTTTTGTTGGATTTGGGTAATGTGGGGGGGCTGGTTGACCTTTTGACCTTTACATTTTCATTAATATCTTTAAAACAGAAGCAGCACAAACGAAAATTTTAGCAGCACAAACCAGCACAAACGTAGCACAGTTGATTGACACCCATTTTGTTTGATTTAATTAATGTGGGGGGGCTGGTTGACCTCTGATGACCTCTAGAAATTGTTATTAATATCTTTAAAATGATAGCAGCACAAACGCTAATTTTACCTGCACAAATCTGCACAAACGTAGCACTAACCGCTCCGCCTATTTGCCTTTACGTTTCAAGTGGGTGGGGGGTCAGCTTCACTCTGCTTCTGAACGGCTCGTGCTGACGGAGCAATGTTGCGTTTACATGAAGGGGGGCTCTGCCCAGTGTTGCCAACTCCTCAGTAAGGAAAATCGCTACTGGCTGCCCTAAAAGTCGCTAGAAGTCGCTAAATGACGTAATTGCCTAATTTGCATAATTGGTCATGCTAATGTAATTGTAACCCACGTTGTTGGAGAGAGAAATAACATCGTTGAAGAGACATAAAGTGATTAGAAAACGTTGTAAATGCATTTAGAATTTATTTAGAACTAAAAATTACATTTCTTTTAGCAATTATTGTTTTTTTAATGTCACAATTCCAACCCTGATCCTTTATCCGGGCCTGGACCGGCAACAGTGACCCGAAATTAGCACCCTGGTGGAGTTACTCTGTGTGAGTGTGTGTTTATAACAGGGGCGGAGCGTGGGGGTGGCTTACTGGGCTTCAGCCCGGGTTGTTTTGTCAGAAGCCCGGGGTCTTTTGGAGTGTAATTTTTTCATAGTTAGATGCCTGGCTGACAACTGTATAAAACAAAAAGTACACACAATATTCGAAGCACATAGTGCACACTGTGGGAATTTACGACTGTGCGTGAATCCCCCCTGATATAGAGATTGACAGACCACGTGACTTTCGCTCATTGCATGCCGTGAACTCGTGGCAAAACAATCCAAGTACCGCATCAAATGCAAGCATTTGCAGCACCGCAAAACGTTCATTCTTCGGTTCCAATAAAGTCTTGCTTTTTCTTTGCCCCCCAAAAAGGTTCTGTACAAAACGAAGGAGAACAATGCCAGTCTGTACAAAGACAGACTTGATGAAAAGTCAAAGAAAAGATACGAGGAAAAAAATCAAACCAGTGAAAGTGTTAGATCCTTACAGCACACAGAGGGACAAAATACGTTAGCGTGCTGCCCAACTTTCACCACGCTCATATTTATAATTATACGGTTCTTGGAGTGAGTGCATACACTTGTGAAGTTTAGTAACTTCAGGTCACTGCAACAAGCCCAGGTACAGTTTACCGACGGATGGGTGCAGGACCTTGAAATGCACTGTGTAGAAAGTAAAGACCATCGTACGTATCATAAGTTTACCAGTCTCACAAATCTTCTTCATAAATACACATTCGTTAACCGTTTATTAATATAACCTTTGAGCTCAATGGTAATTAATTAGTAGTGGAAATAATTTCTGGTAGCATCACAGAAATGTAGCAGTGACAATAATATTGTATGCTGTAATCGCACTGGGCAATTAGTGATACAAAACAACTGTTTTATCCTGTGAATAAAAGTATATGTTTTTGTCAATGTACCATGGTAATAACAGAAGCGAAACACAATATTTATCGTGTCCAAATTCATGGGCTGCATTCTCCTGAGGCCGCATTTGTAGACCGATTACGTCACAGCGACGCGCCGAAGGCTGTCCAAATTCGTAGACCCCTCCGAATGCAGCCGACAAATGCGTGCTCCTTTTTCCGAATTTGAAGGATGGGTCGGGTGTGTCCTTCGTGGCCCACCATATCCCAGAATTCATAGCGCGGCCCAGCCAAGCTCCAGTTTCCGGCTAATGGCGGCCGCTACTAAGTTTTAAAATTACTCTTATTAATCTTTCTGGGTCACAAAATAAACTTTTAACATATTTCCAG